GATTGTGACTATGTTTGTCTTATGTTGCCACATTATTTTTCCCACACTTGCCACACTTGCCTAACCTGAGTTGCTCAAATTGTTAGACACACTTTGGCTTGCCTAAGGGAATCTTGCCACAATTTTTGTGTCTATGACATGTGGGGTTCACTGCTAATAAAAAAAATTCTTGTCTTAGGTGTGGCTAATAAAAAAGACTTATATTTAGGAACGGAGGGAGTAGAAAATATAAATAATAATGCATGTTGGGGCAACCCACGTTTCCGCTAATTTTAGCCGTGGGCTTGTTCACATTTTTTACGAGGGGGTGGTTGTTCATTTAGTGGAGGGACTTATAGTACCAGACTTGAATGATACAAAGTGTGACCTAGCACACCGTAACACCACTTGGAACAAGCAGGTAGCTATCTCAAAAAACAATCAACAACTAAAAAAACTGCGACCTAGCATGTAGTAGTACACAATTTTAAACGATTGTTTTGATGGAGTGAAAAAGGAAAACTACCCCACTACGTATATATAGGCCGGAGCCTCCGCACTTGCTTGCTAGGGTTACTCTATTCACACACTCTCATCCTCTCCAGATCTAAACAAGTAGTAACACTGTCTTTCTCCCTTCAAAAAACACTGGCTTTATATCCTCACCGCTGGTTCCAGATCCGGACGTATCCCCCTCCGCCGGTGAAGGGTAGGAGGGGCAGCGTTTAGGCCGTCGTCGACAGCGAGGGAGGAGACCCACTGCCAGCCGCACCGTTATCTCTGGCCGAGCGCCGGCGCGGGAGGTCCTCCGATCCCTTCGTCGTTTCCTGTGGGCGGATCCGGCCTCCCGCCGCCCAACTATCCACATCCCGACGACCTTCAGGTATATCTTCGTTCAAAACCGCCTTAGCTCTACTTCCCCAGCTCGCTACGTCGCTGCATGTGCATCATTTTCTACCTCTCAGCCCCTCTCGATCGGATGGTCCAACGTCACATTTTTTTTCTTCTATTGTTTGAGGTAAAGCTACTTCATGGAGTTGAATCTTGTACTCCCTCCATCCGAAAATACTTGTCATTGAAATGGATGTATCTAGATGTATTTTAGTTCTAGACACATCCATTTTGATGACAAGTAATTCCAGATGGAGGGAGTACTTGGTTCAAACAAGAAATAAAGTGGGGGTGGGGGAATTTAGTATGTACATCATACTTGGTACAAACAGGAAGGAAAGGGCGTGAAAGTAGTACAGGCTGGTCATCCAACCGGTCTCTTGGTCGAAAAGGGAAATATAGGGGTAATGCTGTACATAGTGGTATTACCAGGACTAGATTTGCTATCCACACATAGAAGTAGGTGGCTAGAGTGAACAAAAATGGGACCAACACATATATGTTTCTTGGATGTTTGTTTCTCGGGGTAACAAACTATGAATCACCACTTTACGCCCCTATTTACGTACATGGTGCTGGACTGCTGGTGCACCCATTGTCCCATGCCCTTATACCAAATATTTAGGCTCTGTTCGGAATAAAGGGGCAGAAAACATAGGTCTTGATGAAAATAGAGGAATAGGAAAGGAATGTAGGTATAAAACTATGGAATAACGAAGCGGAGGGAACTCTCAAGAGAATGTGTTCGGATGGACTACTAAATGTACAGATTTGTTTTTTAGAGTAGCATGCTTGGTAGTATGAGATGTTATTTGTTTATTCAGCTGCACAGTGACTACTCTTGTCCTCACCTCACGTACCACACATAGGTTGATTTTTTATTCCGGCAACACAGCACAACAACCTGTCTAACGCATGGCAGCGAGCGCCTGCCTCGGGCTTCCGCCCAAAAAATGAGCAACGCGTGGATGTTGCTAATCCTATGGAATCAGTACTACCAGACCAGATTTCCTATGAAACACTATTCACCTTTCCCGTGTTCTGAACGGTTGGAAGGGAAAGAATACCATAGAAATTGTGTTCCTACAAAAATCCTACACCAAACCTGTGAACCGAATGCAGCCTTAGTTGTTCTTAATCTAATGTCCCTGGTAAAAATGAAGCCATGCCACTGTTATAAGCCATGACAAGTTTAGCCAAATGTTTTTGCCTGTAATTGTTTGAGACTCTGACTGTTTCCTCTGTGCCTTTTTGTGCAAACAAGGATATCCAATTCACCTGGTTGCTGTTGTGACCTTTTGGTGCACTGCACAAAACTCTTCTTAAAAGAAGTGACTTTTGTGCTGTTTAACTGGAATGGCGGAATGGAACCGTTGGTTCATTTTGGTGGAACTGCACAAAGGGAGATCTGTGTTCCAATCCTCATCATCCATATTTGCACCATAACCTTCCTTTAGGTAAGAATGATATTTAATGCATGTGTTCATCTCTATTTTCTGACTGCCATGAGAAAATAATGCTATTTTTTACTAGTACACTTGTACTCCCTCACGGACAAAACCAATTCTGAATTAGAAGGCCAATCATGTACTTGGTTTCACCAACTGGTGAGGAGAAAGAGAAATAGAGCATGAAGAGGAAGAAGAAGAAGAAGAAACAGTGCCAAGGCGATCTTGCTGAAGCCAGAGGCCTCAGTCGAGGCCATTCAAGGGCTCCGGCAACGACTACCTTACATGTGAGACGATCATCTAGGGAGCCCTTCCACTTATGTTGTCTCACTTAATTAATTAGAAGTACTTAAGTACCACTAATTTATTACTGCCTAATATTCCTGTTGGAGTTAAACAAATCTTTAGTAGGACCCTATGCTGAATGATGTACGTGTGTATGTTTGTCTATGGAGGTGAATCATGTGGTGGAGCAGGGAGGGAATATTATTAGTGTCATGAGATAATAGTGCTATTGTTTTGCATGTCAATTTATTGCCATTGATTCAATGAGGCAATGTTTTGCGTATTGTCCATCATGAATTTGATGCTACTGTTTGAGTAATATGCTAATGTCTTCCTATCCTTTCTCACTAAGCTAATGAAGGTTTCACATTGTTTCTACTTGTGCAAACACGGATCATGTTGTGCCAATCATACATTTTAGTGGAACTACACAAGACAATACAATGAACTGTATCCCAGCCAGTGCTTTAACTCTGCTGGAAGTTCTTGATAATCTTTCAATATAATCTCAGCACTGGTAAACAAGAGTGATTTCAACCATACATTTGAAGTGCACAAAAATATATACTATTATGTGATTCCAGTGAGTGCTTTATCATCTCTTATGGGACTACATGAATAAGCTTTTTTTCTCAAGTTGGTACGGGCCTAAGGCCTTCATCCATATTAGTTTGCTGTCATCTCTATTTGTATCGTGCTACTGTCATGAGAAACTCCTTTATCTTTGCACGTTAAAGTTTTGCAACCTATGATAAATGGCAATGCTTTGAGTGTTGAGTTGAGCTAATTGGCACTGATTAAGTAAACTAATACCTCTCTTTAAGCAAGACTACTATGTTGCTAACTTTACCCATTAAGATAATGAGGGTGCTTCTATTATTACAGTAATCTCACTCTCTCAATATATGTGCCAACAGGGATGCTCGATTTTGGTGGAACTGCACAAAAACTTTGGGTGCTTCATTGCCTCGACAGCTTCTGTCCTTTCACGTCAGTTGCTAATCTCCGCTTGCTTTCTTCCTTTGTTGTCAGTCGCTTGGCTTATCTCGGCTTCTAGTCAAAGGAAATAGTAATTGATATGCTACCTCACACAGGTTGGTACTGGTCTTTATCCTAATTATTGTGCCTGTCATATGTATTGGTAATTTGGTATTGTGCTACTGTTTGCCGATTTCATAAAGGAGTAATTTGGAGCCTGAACTCGCAGGCAAATCATTACATCGGGTGATTTCAATAGAACTGCACAAAATGATCAGATGGACAGGTACTTATGCTGCTGCTATGTACTCCAAAGTTCACTCAGACAAGCATCGATGTTGACAAGAAGTGCCTATATTCATTCAAGTATCAACCGACGTCAACCAGTTGTCAAACTCCAAGTATTAGGAGAGTGAACGCCAAAAATATTGCTTGGTGCATAGCCCAGAAAAACGCAGTCCAGTCTTTGGTCCCAACTTGTGCCTTTTGGTTATCGGCACATATGGTAGCGAACTATATGGCATGGAGTCTAAAGATTCTAGACAAGTTGGTTGACGCGTATATTCATCTGGCACTTAATCAGTCTGCACGCCAAGGATGCTCCATTTCAGTTGAACTGCATAAAAAATTTGGGTGGTTCATTTTCGCAACCACCTCCTTTCTCGTCTGCAATGTAGAATTTTGGCGAGATACAGGACCAAGATGAGCCAGTAAACTAGTTGGATGAAAGTAGTGGCCAAGTTGCTCAAACCTCCCTCAGCACGAGGCCACTATTTGAGTATAAACCTACAAGCAAAGTTCAGATTGTCTGTGCTGCCTCTTATGTACTCAAAAGTTTACTCGTACAAGAACTAATTTTAGCAAGAAATACCTCCGATTGAACACCATTTACTAGTCTGTACCCTAGGTAATTAAAGTTCGTCCATGGATCATATTGGCTGTGATCTCAATCATTTGGTTGCATAAACATACTGAACATGTGTATATCTTAATCTTTTTATGAATTGTGTATGAATATTGTCATGTGATCTATCAATCATTTGGATGCATAGATATGTTGAGCTTGTGTATATATGAATCTTTTGAGTTGTTGATAGTAATGTTGGCTATGAATATGAACGTGTCCTGTGAACCTCAGTTTGATATGAATGTTTACCTTTTCTATTGTATTTGTGTGTGAACTTGTTAGTATGCCTACTGTGGGGTATAAAACACAGTTCTCTTAGAAAAGTAATGTTGTGTCCAATTTATGTTTTCCCTTCTAACCACATCGTATATACTATCAAAAGGGCACGTGCGTTGCAACGGGAAAAAATATGGCACACACTTTCGTTCTATTCTTCTTTACCGGGTCTGTCATTACATGTGCTCCGGTGTAATAACATCATAAATTACCAAACTGCCTTAGGAGTTTTTGTCTCAGGCACCACAGTGAGAATGATTGACAATATGAGCATCACCAGCCTGAAGAAAGTTGTTGTTATGACCGGCATGGCCAAGAGGATATATGATGCGCACTGACATCCAACAACAACATTTCTCATGGTTTCGGTTTTTTCTGAACCAGTGCTATATTTGATTATTTGGCACAAAAAAGTTGTAATTCTTTCACTCCAACTACGACCAACATGGCTCGTCATTCTTCCAAAAGATGTCCCTTATGATATTTTTTCAGAAAAAAGGAGTGCATTATCTCCTTGTTGTCGTCTAACTGAAGGAAACTGAATGTGAAAATTTAAGTGTATATAGACTGACCCACCCGGAGTGCATACAAAAATATTTTTATCCAAGTCGTCAGTGCCAACACTGTACCTCCAATGTCCATCTGCATCTACACGGCTAGGTCTAATCTTAAGTAAGAATGAAACTACCAAGCAAACTGTGATAACAGCATGTAGCCGACCCCGGGCAACAGGTGGTCAGGGATCATCCGCAGAGAAACACGAAGTCGGCTGACGATCGCTGAGCATGGCCAGGCCCATCTCGCTCTCGTGGCTGCCGTGGTGGCTCCCGGGCCTCTCCGTGGCTCCTCCACTCCGAGTCCACAGCCTGACCTCAGCATTCCGCCTCCATCCTCCTCCGCCCTCTGTCCCGCGTGCTCCTCCACACCTCCCTCTCCAAGCCGACGGATCCGACCTTCCCCTCGCTGGATCCGGTCCACCACGAGCCTCAAGCCACCCTGCCGCTAAGCTCGTGTCCATGTCATGCGTGGTGTAGAGGTGGCCAGCGTGTGGAACAGGCTGCGTCGCAGGCGTCTGCGCGTTGTGCCTCCGCTTCCTCACCCCGGCAAGCGCCAGACTGAACAGCTTCGCACCGGACTGCCATTTTGTTGTACAATTTCCCTTTGTTCTCATTCTGTGTTTGTTGATTCAAGAGGCTCGTTGTTGATATGCAATTTTCCTAGGTATATAAACTGGTAGACTTTCATGTAAGCAATCGAGGTGGGATTACTCCGAGTACATGCGTGAAAATCAGGTAAGGTACAAATACAGAAGCGTGCATGTAGGCCCAATAAGAGAATGTGGACGTGGACCAATTGGATGGAAAAAGTTTTTAGTACCACCTCGCAGCAATTGGACGGACTGTCGATCAAAACTAATGGAAAAAAACTGAAAGCGTAAATTCACGAAAAGAAGTGTATTGTGACGGTGAACCCAAAGAGTCAATCCGTGCTTTATTATTACTAGCAAAAATGCCCGTGCGTTGCAATGGGAAAAAATCACATGCCCTTCCACCACCCACCTCGCGGCACAACTGCAAGCTGCATCCAAACAATCCCTGCCCACCATCAACACCACCACATACCTGCATCCCATGCAAGCTCTTTAAACAATTATCATCCAAACATGTATATTGCGAATTTGAAATTGACATTTCCATTGTTGTGTGGCATAAATTTACATACCATATGTATTACACATGGATCTAGGCCGCCACCAGTGCCTTTGCACGACGCAAGCCTCTATGATATGAATCAACAACCTGAAAATTTCTGAGAGATATGTACAAGGAAACACAGATAAGGTAGTGAGGCAATAAATTTCATAACATCTTATAATGACAGTTGTATGTGATTTGCAGGAAGTGTTCTACTCACCATCGCAGGTCCTTGCTGGTTACATAATTATTGCCGAGGGCGGCGCAGATGGTCGTCTGTGTGGCTAGCGGCATGCCTTCTGCAGTGATAGCCACTCCATCGTCGAATCTGCCCTCCATGACAGACTCACCACCACCACTTGCCTGCGGAGATTGTGGCATCTTCCCGTAGTAGCTTTTTATGGTAGGAATATTGGACTAATATACATGTAACCAACAAACGGAGCACCGCGATAACAAAACAACTTTGACATTCTTATTACATCAGAAAGTTAAATATTTACTCCTATAGGATTGTCTAGTACATCCTAGGACATTGGTGTGTGAGCCTTAATTACATGCAAGAAGACGCAGTTCAGTTACAAAAACTACACAGTCAAAAGAGAACAAAATTAGAACTGAATTTCATCACCTGAAAGTTGGCTGCGCGTTTACATCATAGCGAGCCTGAACTTTTCTATTGATGGATCCCCTTTCTTCTGCTCCGAATTGTAGATGAATTGCTCACTCTACTTTGATTTGATCCTTGACGAATCTTCTAATATTGGAAGAAACCGGGCGAGCAATGACCTCTTCTTTTTCTTATTACTCTCTATCTCTCCCTCCTTGAGTAACAAAAATAGGTCAAAAAATCTAGGCATTAACTAATTTGTAGAGTTCTCTACATTAGCACCTTTCAACAGTAGCGTTATATATTAGCATGAGGTATAATGTTACTTCTGAAAAACACCGCTGCTAACTTATCGTAGTATTACCCTAATAATAAAAGCTAAATCCTCTAAACAACCAAATACTAAAGGAGCTTCTATGTAATCATTTGCAGCCGAGATCCTACGTGAAAATATATTCCAACTCCCAAACACTTACTCGGTGCTAGAATGGAAAAAATGGTTAGTAAATGTTATCAATTTTGCAATGAAAATTAAATGTTTGTGAAATTCTTCATCTAAAGAAAATTACTTTTTAAGTCTTCCTCTTTCAGGCTTGGGGAATAACCAAAGGTACCATTATAATTGGTGGTGATGGAAACATGCATGATAATCAATTATACACAACATCATCAAAGAAACTGGATCACTATTTTTTCTTAATTGAACCTCACCACATAGATGCGCTCATGTAGGCCAAACAAAAGGGAATGAGACCTGAAAATAAAACAAAACTTGGCTAGGTCAAGCATTCAAAGAAAGAGACAATTTGGAGTGACTTGCAGTGTTCAGAAATATATTATCTTTAGACTGGTTATACAGTTCTACTTGAGCTTCACATACTGTCAGAACACATAGATGTGCAAGTACAATTCTTTTAGAATATGCTAAACCTGGAAAGACACTTAATTAGCTCCGCTGTGCGATGGCTAACTGGAGTTGGAGCAATGCATTTCTTTAGCAATGAGATTGCAATCTGGGTATGTCCCTTATGAGACAAAACTGATATATTCAATTAAGAAAAGTAGAAAAACTCAACAAATGCACTGACCGACATCATCAGTACTTGGGTCATATAAATGCGCAAACTGCATGAAAGATTCAAAATTTTCATTTTCAAATGGTGCAATAATCTTTAGTGGCCTTTCCTAAATATCTAATGGCCATTGTTTGACTATTTTTCCTTACATCTAGAAAGGGTCAGAGATTAACCAAAGAAGTTCTACTCATAAAACGTAGACCATGGAAGGCTGTCAAAATGGTGAGGCACTCATGCAATTCTCTCAATTATGTATTGTCACCAACTCATCTCTGGATTAGCCGCTCCTACAAACACCTCAAATATTTGCAAGTATACAGTCTAATGGATATATATAGATGGCTATAATGTAGCTAAATGTATGCATGCCTTTTGTTGATAACTGAAATCAAGGACGTTGGTAAACTATATGGCCAATGTAGGAACGTTTGGTTCTAATACTGTCTACTTTGATCAAAAAAGATTCTTGTAACAATTTATAACTTAATGGGAAACATTAAGCCCAATTCCACATATGTGCACAATGATGCCGCTTGACTAAACAAATGATGAAGTTAGGACACTCCAATAACAATAATTCAGATAGAGCATAATGTTGGAAAATAAGTTCTGGCAATACAACAGAATCATCCTATAGACTCAGCCATTAGTAAACTGCAAAAGTGCGAAGAACAATTGATCAAGTTAAGCATATAAAGATACAACACGTGAATAGAAAGGATCATACCAACCATTCTTTTATGTGCAGATCACGAAAAGTAGGGGAAAGAATAGAGGATCTTGATGAAACAAAACTGAATCGAGGTTGCATATTTTTGCATCAATATAGTGCGCATTAAATTAGAGTTTTTTTGCGAGGAGCATTAAATTTAGAGTTTATAGAAGATAATAAGAAATAGTAGCATGCATTACTCGCTGGTTTATTATTGTGGATCGAAGGACCTGCATCGACTTATCATTGGACTAAGTGCCTAAGTGGGGCAGGCTGCAGGTGAGAATAGCAAGAGTAGGCAGTCCCTTGACGAAATGAGAGAGGAGTGGGTACTTCTTACTGAGGGACCATGCGGTGACTGCACCGTTGCAGATCGTGTGGCCATGCCTAGGAGTAAACTGCAAAGCACATCGTTGTCACCTGGCAGGGGGTAGGTGTTAATACACTGGAGATCACAAGGGCGAGTACAGAATAAAAGCAGATTTTGCCACTGCTCTATAGTTACGACTGCAAACAGATTGTGTATGTGTCTTTTCTCATATCAAAAGGGAGTAGCATCGTTTGAGTGCCTTTTGTTCCGGACAAAATAACTTCTGAATCAAATCCGCATAAGTTCTGTGATTCTAAAAGGCATGATGGTTGGCTATGCCACACAGATCCAGAATATTCGAAGTGAGATCAGAGAGAAATCAAGATCACATACATATGTCGGTGGGCAGCACAGAGTAGGCACACAGATCTAGAATATTCAAAGTGTGTTCAGAGAGCAATCAAGATCATCTACATAGGTTGGTGATCAGCACAGAGATTACAGGAAAATGAATACATACTTGGATGGCATTGAGGGAAACGATTGACACAGGCCTCCTTTCCCCTTGGTTGGACGAACCTGTGGTGTTTGCAGAATTCGCCATGGACGTAGAACCCTAGCTTCACCAAAATCAGCTCTTCCCAGGACCAAATTGTAACCTACAGCTCGAGCTTGCTTCTCTTCCCTGCAAGGCTTCCGTCCTCACCCTCTGCCTTATCTCTGATTATCCTGGGTACGCTCTCCCTGCCGGCGTACGGACGCGGCATCCGTCCCCGCTCCTCAAGGGCCGCCACTTGATCTCTGTCCCCCAAAACTCCTCGTTCTTCTTCATCTCCTCACCTAATTAACTTACATTGTTTTTCTTGGCTGTGTACATAGGAGATTGTAGAATGTATCTTTATAAGATTGGTAACGTGAAGCAGTACATGGACTGAATTGATCAGAGAAGAATGAAAAGAGTATGAATAAGGAGCATGCGGTCGTGGCTACATACCATCAATTGTCTCCCGACCGCACAAGCTATCTTTCCACTCGCTCGCTGCTGCACATATCTTAAGGCCGGCCTCCGGGAACTCCATGAGCCAGCTTCCTCGACCATGGCAAGGGCGTTAACCCCCCTGACCCCGCCAGATGCCATCACCGGAGCAACCACACAGGCTGCTCCCTGCCATCTCTCCTTCTCCTCATTCCTTCCGGCCTCTCTCTCTCTCTCCTACGCCCCACTTCCCCAGCTCCTCTTCTTCTCCTTCCTTCCCCTCTCTCCCCTGCATCTCCCTTTCACTCAATCCCTCTTTCTCCTTGCCGCTGATCTACAGGAGCTTACCATAGCCACTGTATCCCGTCCCCACCGCTCGCCCCAACCGCTTGCCGGAGATCACGCCGCCGCCGTCGCCGTTGCCCGGTTCCCCCTGCCCCGTGCACCGCGGAGAGGGAGGGATGGGGGTGTGGCGGCAGAGAGAACCCTAGAGCCAGGGCGTGTCGACTTATCGTGCAGGAGACAGAGGGCTCGTCGGGGTCGGCGGCGCTCGGGGCGTCGGCGCCGCGCGGCGCCGTGGCAGGGGTGGCGGCGCGCTGGCGTTGGAGGTGAAGACGGAAGGGTCGTGGGTCATCTCGGTGTTTTTTTATTTTCTCTCGTACAGACCGATTCGGCTTGACTTATCAATTGGACTGCGGGTTAATTTTAGAAAACTTCAAGAACGTTTTTGCAAAAACGCCTCGACGGTGAATCCGGAGACTCAATCTGTGCTTTATTATTAGGAAGAGATAGGGAAAGATTTATATTATTACTATTATCGTATATTTTATAGAGACTTATATATACATTATAAAAACATCCCATGTGTTATTAACTTATAAAAGTAAATGTTTAACGGAAGTTGGCAAAGAAAATCCTGGTTGTTTTTGACTCACAGGCAAGGAAAATCCTGATGATTGCGTACAAAAGCTTGCGAAGATTTTAAGGACCAATTTGATAATAGCGCGCTCATTTTTATTTTGAGCAATAACTCGCTAATTTCTTAATTATATATATATATATATATATATATATATATATATATATAAATGTGCCTCTTCAGTTTATTCTTTGATATTAATTGCTCCTTCTAACATAACATTATATATATAACGAGCCCACCTAATGTGTGTATTTCAAGGAAGTTCAAATGGGCTGGGATTTCTTAGAAAATATAAATGGGCCTGATTGACGCGGAATTATTTGTTCACCCAGCCCAGCAAATGGACTGTACATTCTAGAAAACATGGGTTAAATATATGCCAAATTTTTGCACGCTGACATGTGGGCCAATAGGTCAAAGCCTACGCAGGGCGTTGTCAACTTGGTCAACAAATGATTGTGTCATCCACAGCCATTGGATTTATATCCAACGGCCGGCATGCACCTTCAATCTCTCGTCTTCTTCCTCCAGCATCGCCGGGACCGCCTGGTCTGGCCTCCGGCGGCTAGCGGCTCTGCTTAGCACGCATCGCTGCGAAGCGCTACCCCACCGCCGACCAGGCTATCCTCCACCCCTCGACACCTCTTGTTATTCTCCACAGACTACAGCCCCACGCCACAACAGGACCAGTTATAACCCTTCTCCTCATCTCAATCTGTGACTCCACTGCCGCATTTCCCCATCTCCGAGTCATTCCTGTCTGGGGCCTCGCCGCCGTCCATCGCCTCGCTACGTTCGGTGCGGTGTGGTAAAAAACGAGAGTCATCGGAAGAGGACTGTACATGGAGAGCCTGACGGCTGGGACCACGAGGTCCATGGTCGCATGCAAGGAAAGTTCCTCCTTATTAAGCTAAAAAATGTTTCCTCCACCTAACAGCTGGGACCCACCGGCTGTATCTTCGCATGAAAGGAAGTGCCTCCTTGTTTTGCGAAAAAAATTATTCATCCCGTTGACAGCTGGGACCCGTCAGATTTGGTGACTGACTTGTGGGCCTACTAAGCGGACGTGTACGCACGACTTTGTCAACTTAATAAACAAATGATTCTAGCAGCTGGACCATTGGATGTTAATCCAACAGCCGTGCTCCTTCTTCAACCTCTGTTCTTGCTCCTGTCTCCCGTGGGCGGCCCGCGGCTGTGATGTCGCGCACCCGAACCAGTGAAGTTTCCCACTCCTCTCCATCTGCGAGTCCACTGCCCCGTCTTCCCCATCTCCGGGTCGTTCCAGCCTGGGTGCGCTCGGCACGGTGTGGTCAACATGGTCAACAACCGAGAGTCATTGGAAGATGACTGTACGTGAGAGGCTGACAGTGGGGACGCACCAAGCCCATGAACGCATGCATGCAACGGAACGCGGCGAGGTCAATGTGGTCAAGGAACGACTTCCATCGAAAGTATACTATACGTGGAGAGTCTCAGCTGGGTCCACGGCCGCAGCAAGTAAGTGCCTCCTTATTACGCGAAAAATAATGATGAAGGAAATATGCCCTAGAGGCAATAATAAAGTTATTATTTATTTCCTTATTTCATGATAAATGTTTATTATTCATGCTAGAATTGTATTAACCGGAAACATAATACATGTGTGAATACATAGACAAACAAAGTGTCACTAGTATGCCTCTACTTGACTAGCTCGTTAATCAAAGATGGTTATGTTTCCTAACCATGAACAATGAGTTGTTATTTGATTAACGGGATCATATCATTAGTTGAATGATCTGATTGACATGACCCATTCCATTAGCTTAGCACCTGATCGTTTAGTATGTTGCTATTGCTTTCTTCATGACTTATACATGTTTCTATGACTATGAGATTATGCAACTCCCGTTTACCGGAGGAACACTTTGGGTGCTACCAAACGTCACAACGTAACTGGGTGATTATAAAGGAGCATTACAGGTGTCTCCAAAGGTACATGTTGGGTTGGCGTATTTCGAGATTAGGATTTGTCACTCCGATTGTCGGAGAGGTATCTCTGGGCCCTCTCCGTAATGCACATCACATAAGCCTTGCAAGCACCACAACTAATATGTTGGTTGTGAGATGATGTATTACGGAACGAGTAAAGAGACTTGCCGGTAACGAGATTGAACTAGGTATTGGATACCGACGATCGAATCTCGGGCAAGTAGCATACCGATGACAAAGGGAACAACGTATGTTGTTATGCGGTCTGACCGATAAAGATCTTCGTAGAATATGTAGGAGCCAATATGGGCATCCAGGTCCCGCTATTGGTTATTGACCGGAGACATGTCTTGGTCATGTCTACATTGTTCTCGAACCCGTAGGGTCCGCACGCTTAAGGTTACGATGACAGATATATTATGAGTTTATGCATTTTGATGTACCGAAGTTAGTTCGTAGTCCCGGATGTGATCACGGACATGACGAGGAGTCTCGAAATGGTCGAGACGTAAAGATTGATATATTGGAAGCCTATATTTGGACATCGGAATCGTTCCGGGTGAAATCAGCATTTTTCCGGAGTACCGGGGGGTTACCGGAACCCCCCCCCCCCCCCGGGGGTTTATTGGGCCTACATGGGCCTTGAGGGAGAAGAGAGAAGGAGGCAAGAGGTGGCCGCGTGCCCCTCCCCTTCCTAGTCCTAATAGGACAAGGGAAGGGGGGCGCCGCCCCCCCTTTCCTTCCTCTCTTCCACCTCTTCCCCCTCTCTCCTTGTCCAACTAGGAGTCCTACTCCCGATGGGAGTAGGACTCCCCCTTGGTGCGCCCACCTTGGCCGGCCGCCCCCTCTCCCTGGCTCCTTTATATACTGAGGCAAGGGGCACCCTAGAACACACAAGTTGATCCACGTGATCTATTCCTTAGCCGTGTGCGGCGCCCCCAGCCACCATAGTCCTCGATAATATTGTAGCGGAGTTTAGGCGAAGCCCTGCTGCAGTAGTACATCAAGATCGTCACCACGCCGTCGTGCTGACGGAACTCTTCCCCGACACTTTGCTGGATCGGAGTCCGGGGATCGTCATCGAGCTGAACGTGTGCTAGAACTCGAAGGTGCCGTAGTTTCGGTGCTTGATCGGTCGGATCGTGAAGACGTACGACTACATCAACCAAACGCTTTTGTTGTCGATCTACTAGGTATGTAGATCATACTCCCCCTCTCGTTGCTATGCATCACATGATCTTGCGTGTGCGTAGGAAATTTTTTGAAATTACTACGAAACCCAACAGTGGCATCCGAGCCTAGGTTATTTATGTTGATGTTATATGCATGAGTAGAACACAAGTGAGTTGTGGGCGATATAAGTCATACTGCCTACCGGCATGTCATAGTTTGGTTCGGCGGCATTGTTGGACGAGACGACCCGGACCAACATTACGCGTAGGCTTATGCGAGACCGGTTCCCCCGACGTGCTTTGCACATAGGTGGCTTGCGGGCGACTGTCTCTCCAACTTTAGTTGAACCGAGTGTGGCTACGCCCGGTCCTTGTGAAGGTTAAAACGGAGTCAAATTGACAAACTACCATTGTGGTTTTGATGCGTAGGTGAGATTGGTTCTTACTTAAGCCCATAACAGCCACGTAAAACTTGCAACAACAAAGTAGAGGACGTCTAACTTGTTTTTGCAGGGCATGTTGTGATGTGATATGGTCAAGACATGATGCGGATTTTATTGTATGAGATGATCATGTTTTGTAACCGAGTTATCGGCAACTGGCAGGAGCCTTATGGTTGTCGTTTTATTGTATGCAATGCAATCACGATGTAATGCTTTACTTTATCACTAAGCGGTAGCGATAGTCGTAGAAGCACAAGCTTGGCGAGACGACAACGATGCTACGATGGAGATCAAGGTGTCACGCCGGTGACGATGGTGATCACGACGGTGCTTCGGAGATGGAGATCACAAGCACAAGATGATGATGGCCATATCATATCACTTATATTGATTGCATGTGATGTTTATCCTTTTATGCATCTTATCTTGCTTTGATTGACAGTAGCATTATAAGATGATCTCTCACTAAATTATCAAGAAGTGTTCTCCCTGAGTATGCACCGTTGCAAAAGTTCTTCGTGCTGAGACACCACGTGATGATCGGGTGTGATAGGTTCTACGTTCAAATACAATGGGTGCAAAACAGTTGCACACGCGGAATACTCAGGTTATACTTGACGAGCCAAAGCATATACAGATATGGCCTCGGAA